CTTTGTTGTCCTTTACTCGCCTTACACTTAATACTTATTGCCCTAAATAGTAAAATTAAGAAATAATTTGATAATATTTTATTAATAGATTTTGATTTTTTTTTTCCAAAACTCAAAAATCAATATCTTACAAAAAACAAGAAACACCTCCGTGAAAATTTTAGAATATTTTAAGAACATGCAGAGGTATTATGCAAAAAAAAAATTGAGCAAAAAAAATATTAGTTTTTGATGTATTAAATTTTGATAATTTTGAAATTTTTTGATTTTAAAATTTTTTTTTTAATATATATAGTTTTGTAGCCCCAAGTATCCTCTTTAAAACGAGCTGAAGATGATTTTTGTAGCTATAATAGTTTTTGAGATATTAAAAAAATTAACTTGAAAAACTGGAAAAATAGTGAAATTTTGAATTTCGCATAACTTTTGCAAATATTGTTTTTCATTTTTTTGCTGTTGATGGAACTTCATTATAGGTTGAAAAAAAACTTTTGACCAAATTTCATCCAAATCGAAAGGGGTCGATTCCAACCATTGGTCGTTTTGACACGGAATTACCCATATGCTAATCTAGGCAAAAAGCAACCTACGTACCAAATTTTAAGCAACTCGGACGATAAATACGATTTTTGCGAATAGATCGGTCCTTGATCCACTTCCCGGAAAAAAGGATCATATATGCTAATCTAGGCAAAAAGCAACATACATACCAAATTTTAAGCAAATCGGACCATAAATAAGATTTTTTCGAATAGATCGGTCTCTGGTCCACTTCCCGGAAAAAAATGATCCTTTATCGTCGTTTAAGGTACAAAACCGCGTATCGCCATTTTGCAAAACCGCGTAGCTGACATTTGCTGCCAAAAATTGGATTTGCTCACGCAAGCTCTTGGCTCAATCCTTATCCATTCGTCCTGAAATATACTAGCCAGAAATGCGATTGCTTTATAAAAAAAAGAAACATTTTGAAATATGAGTGTTTTTACTCTCTAGAAAATAATTTATGCAACCTCACATACGCGGTTTTGCATTATCTTGATACGCGGTTTTGTACTTTAAACGGCGATATGCTAATCTAGGCAAAAAGCTACCTACGTAAGAAATTTTAAGCAAATCGGACCATAATAAGATTTTTTTGAATAGATCGGTCCTTGGTCCACCTACCGGAAAAGTGATTTTTTTTTGGCCTATGACATGGTGGTTGCTGAAAGCTATTTATATACAAAATTTCATGAAAATCGGACCAGCCGATCGCGAAATAACCTATTACAGAAAAAAGGGAATCCTCTTTATATAATTAGTATAGATTTTCAAGCCATATTTTAAGAAAAAAACAAAATGAGGCATTTCCTGTCCCCGCGGCCCCCTCTGTGCATAACATCTACGAAACTGGATGCAAGTTGAAGAGAGTGAAGGTCTAGGTGACACGAATATACGTGCAGCATATTTTGCCGATATGGTCCATGGTCAAGAATGATAGAATACAAGATTGCGCCGATCAGAGAGGATTTTTGAGAATAACTTTTGTGTGACGTCACACTGGTGCAATTGCGAGAGAGAAATGCCAAAACGTGAGCAAGAATGGAAGAAGAAGAAAAAATGTTGCAAGGAAAACGTAAACATGTTGCACCAGTGTGACGTCATGCAAACAA